GAGAGAGAGAGAGCGAGAGAGAGAGAGCGAGAGAGAGAGAGCGAGAGAGAGAGAGAGAGAGAGAGAGAAATGGGAAAGTGGATATAGATAGATAATGCAACGCCCTGGTGACGATAGCAACGTATGTCCAAAAAAACGCGTAATAGCACTTTTTTTTCGGGTAGTGGTGGTGGTGGTGATGGTGGGGTGGTGGACTCAAATGAAAAATATCATGATGACGATGCGGGAGATGCGAGGGGTCGAGACGAACTGTTATAGCTTGTGAACGATGAAGCAGATGAGGTGTGGAAGGGATGCTGTACGTCGAAAAGTATGATGCTTGATGATGATGTGGATGAAAGAGACTCGTTTTGCCAAAGCAGAAGAAGAAAAAAAGAGAAGAAAAAAAGAGTAGACGGAAAAAAATTGGACACAAACCAAGATGGTTACAAGACCGAAAAGTGGGACTCAAATTTATAAGGGTATGAGATATAATAGAATGTCATGGAGACTGAGAAGAAAAATCGCCGAGAGGTATACCCATGCATATTGTATAAAAAATAATGGCCGTGCGCGCTTTATTGACTGCCGGTCGATGAAAAAGAAGATGATGCGATTTGATTTCCAAAAAGCTTATTCCGGATCCCTTCAAGAATTATGCCGTCGTAACGGAGAGTGGGAGAGATATTGTCGTGATTGCGGAGGAAGTAAATCGTACGGATGAGCAGCGCGTCGAGCTTTTTCCGCGGGACCAAGTGACCCAAGTTTGATCGGTACGTTGCCGCAAGAACTAGCATGTTGCCGAATTGACTAATGTCCAAAGCAAAAAAGACAAATATTTAGACCTCGGAAAATGGGGTTCAGAAAGTTTTAAATTTAAAAACTTACGCATGGGCGGTGCCAAATATGTTGGTGACGATTGGCCGTTTATGGACGCCATCAAAAGCAATGGTGCTTTGCATGGCAGCTTTGATGCAAATCTCAGCAGCCTCTTGGACTGTTTGTGTTGAATCCGAAACATCTCTCCGAGGTGGAGGCATCCCCTTGCTGTCGCGTCGGGAGTTATCAGAGGTAAGATTCTGAAACACAGGCGAGTCTTGTCCGCCCTGTCGATCCGATACACAAGCGGACGAGGATTTTGAGCCGCGAGCACTCCCTGGAACTTGCAATGGGTGAATCGCATGATGGAGAAAAGGACGATGTATAATATAGAGCGCTCCATAGTATTTACCACGCAGGCGAGCAGCATTAATGTCTGTAGCCGGCGGATCCGTGTCTGACCATCTCATCCGCGTGGGAAGCGTTTCTCGCCAACTCTGAAGCTGGTCCGCGAGATCTTTGCTTGTCAGATTTGACCAACCAGCATGCTTTGAATTTTCTGTAAGAAATCGAGACGATAGCACCCAAGATTAGCGGATGTTGCTTGTATTAATAGCCGGGAGTGGGCTCTTGTTGGTGAAACATTTTTAAATTCCTCTTAAAGGGAAACTCACTGTCGGTAGAATACAATGCAGAATGAGCCCGATTCAAAATCTTGCGAAGCTGGATCTGTGCCGAATAATACATCATCATCAGAGTTTCCGGCTTCTCGCCAAGAGCATCCGGGGGAAGGCCCAAAGAGACGCCCAAGGGAAATCCAATCCCCGAATCCTCATAACGGGAGATGCCAGAGGCCGGCAAATCCAACTCAGCCAGAATATCGCTAACAGTCTTAGTGAAAAAGGAAATCCAAAAGATAGAATAGGGAATCACATCTCCTGCAAAATCTTGCTCACCTTTCTAATTGTAAACATGTCCAAAAGGCAAACACGATCAGATCGCGCCGCACGTCGTCCTTTTCTTGTGTGAATTTGGTCCTGCAAGTTTAATCTTGGCTTCAGTACACCGACCATTTATACTTGTCAATGACTCATGCTACTCACGGATGTATAAGCACTTGGCAGGCTCGGCTTGCAGAATTGATCCAGGCCCAGCTCTCTATGACTCTTGCTAGCTGACCGGCGTAAAGGCCTGCAAGTAGGTTCGCCTGAATATGGGGGAGGTCATTCCCCCCATGTAGGTTCCCAAGGATATCCGTAGCATATGCATAGTATGCCAATCCAGGTATCACGTCAATGTTTTTTAGATGAAGGTCTCTCCGCTCCTCCGATGCCAAAGTTTCAATCGACGGTCGACGACTTGGTGGAGTCGGTCGGCCCCAGTCACTCGGAGAGCGTGATGAGGGCGACTGCTTCGTCAGCATCGGAGGTGAGTCAAGTTGCACTGGAAAGGAGGCGTAAGTCCCTGGCGGGTCCCACTGTCCATATTCCGATACAAGTGCAGGGAGGGGATCTTTGTGTTCGCAGATTCTACCCAGAGCAAGAACCAGTAATACCAAAGCAGTGCTAATTGAGCGCTCAGGAAGCGTCGCCATATTGGACTGTTGGTTCGGGGAGGATCCGTTACTGGGAAGGCTGTGACTTGCAGTGGACCCAAGGGATCGCTTCCTTTTCGGGCCTCTATGAGACGGTGCGTGGTACTCTCGTTGACTGTCCCTATGTGGCGTTTCAAGCCCATTTGAAGTCGAAGTGGCGTATCGAGCAACAAAGGTCTCGATCATTTTTGATAGTCGCGGCTTGTCCAGAAAGGGATGAAGAATATGAACGTTCTTCACGTAGCTCTCGAATAGACGATAAATTGTTTTGGCATCCAACTTTAAATAGCTCGCCTGATGTGCTCCACTTGTAAACGGATTTTGTTCAGGCAGGGCTCTGTACGTCTCCATGGCCGGCGGTGACAGACCAGTGCCCCATAAACCCTCCGAAGGAGGACTAGCCGGGCTCATGATTCGACCATCCTGTTCTGAACTTCGCGAGGCTGCAGGGCTTAGCGGACCAGGTCTACCACCATCAAAAGAATCCAGGCCTTCGCCTCGTCCATAGAGTCGAAGAAGACCTCGCCGTTCCTCTCCCTCCATGACGTAGTTTTCGTTCACGACGCCGCTAGCCTTGGCAAGATCGGCAATGGAGGGCCATCGCAAAAGTTTCTGAGCGGCTGTCGTGTGTTCGATGGGAATGGAGAGTTCTCCAATGCGCTCCTCTACTTTAATATCCTCTGTATTCATCGATTCTGCTCGAGACATTGTCGGGGCATAAGCGTTTGGGGCCTCAGAGTCCCTATGTGTCGGTGTCTCAACGCGACTCTGCTGGCTTGCACGTTCCGGGGCAGGCCTTTCTGGCGGGACAAAGCTCTGAGCTGCGAATGCGACTGAGTCGACCGGCTCGGACTTTGGTGATTGCAAGACTTGCATATGCCTGGCCTTGTCTGTAAAATAATCCTTTCGAAGTTCAGCAAACTCTGCACGTAAAGCATTCAGAGCCTCAATTATTTGCGCCTGTTGTTCCGCCATTTGAGTTTGCGCACGATCTTGTCTATAAGATTGCATCAGTTGACAATCGCATACACCATACAGACGCCAAAATGTTTAGACCGGGGGAGGAGGATGCTCTCTTACTTGGCAGGTGGTACATCACGATAGACGCAAGTATTTTGTGTTTCCTTGCAAAACCCACAAGAGGGACGACCCTCATCGCACTTTGCTTTCCGTGCTCGACACGCGTCACAGGCCTTCTCAAAAAAAAAATAGCAATTTAGCACAGGCTCGCGGAAAAAAACATCGAGAATGAGGTACACCGATAGGAAAATCCAAAGTGGGAAGGGTGGCAAACCTGTGTAGCGCGTATTGCTTTCCTTCTGGGAGGTCCTACTATGCTGGTGACCAAAGCAGGTGGGCCAAATGGTATTCCTGGCCCATAAGCCGGCGGCGCGGATACAGGTGATGGACCGTATGAGCCGTTATGATCGATCGCGGAACCTGGCATAGGTTCGTGAGGGTGCGGTAAGGACATGCCATGGTGAACGACACCATTGGGCAGACTCTCGTGAACCGGTGGACCGTGATGGTGAGGATGAGGAGGAGGATGTGGCAGAGAAAGTGGATGATGGTCCATCAGGTGCTGCTGATGTTGGGGCCCGTCGTGGACGGTGGGCACCGCCAGAGGCCGCAATTGTGGATGCTGTTGGGAATCGGTTTGTGTCGTCGTCGGCGGCGGCGGCGGCGGCGGCGGCACTGTAGCACTTCCAGGTCGAGGAAAGACCTGTTCAGGATGGAAGGGTCGAGGAGGATCTACAGGCGCCGAGTAGCCCGGATGAGGAGGAGGATTGTTATAACTGTGCGACATGGGGTGTGGCAATGCCCGGCCTTCAGCGGACATGGGCTCATAGGAGAGCGGTGGAGGAAGATGTGACGGCGGCGGTTGAGGAGCTCTGACATGGTTGGTATGATGATGCGGCGGCAGTTCGGAAGCCCACTGAGATTGTGGCGGTCCGCTGTAGGAACCCAAGCGTGGACGCTTGGCCTCTGGATCTGCTGTGTCCATTTTACTCTCGGGGGTTGATATCTACTGCGTCCATCCGCTCCACTTGAGGACTAAAGTGGAAAACAAAGGAAAAACAATAATATTATGTGACCGTCGTAGATCTCCTTCCCAATGGTTCGAGGTGTTTGGGACTCGTCAAAGGCCGTCATCTACGCGATCCAATACATGATCTGCGCTGGGGAAACACAAAGAAAGGTTCGAAGTATCGGAGCGAAAAGGGTTGGATAAGGCGCAACGGACAAATTGGAAAAGATCTCTCTGCCCACGAGGTCGATCCGCTACCCGGGTAGTGCTCCAGCGGGAAAGGGCAAAAGGACGGCAATGTTTGGCTTTGTGTATCCCGGACCCGGTTCGTCGATCAAACAGCTTCCGGGGTTCACGCAAGGCAAATTGACGCCGTGAAGAAGCTGCGCAGCCGGTTTCAACAAACCCACTCGAACGCCCCTGGCACTAAAAAGCAAGTCCGCAATGACAGGCCCCCTGAGAGGCAGTTTACCGTGGCACAGGGTCGGTAGCTAAAGGCGCTGCAGGCGCCAAGGGAGATGGAAGAAAGAGGGCGTCGGATGATAACGGTGGATCCCCAAAGCGGATCGCACTCACCGAAGGCCGTAAGAGACGGGGTAAGACGAAAGAAGCCTGGCGACGGCTGGGTGACGGTTTAATTTCTGCCCGAGGGCGAAATGTGTACGCGTGTGGTCTTCGGAGGCTCTGTTGCTGCTGCTGCTGCTGCTACTACTACTATTACTGCTATTACCGCACCAGCTTCCGCAGTAGTGGAATGAGTGCAGTGACGAAGGACACCGGTGAATCGGCAATCTAGATCTCAAAGGTAAACAGAAAAGGGTTTGTTGGAGGGGGCTGCAATTGTGCTGTCGGGACCGAGAACCAGCCAAAAGAGGACCAGAGCTAGGGCAGCAAAAGCTCATTCAACGCGAGGGGAAGGGATGGTCGCACGCGATGCGGTTCGCTCAAAGCTAGGAACAGTGGCGGAGATGGGCGCGGAGAACGCAAATTCGTGACCAAATGTAATATGGATAACGATGATGAAGGGCCGCGGCAGCAGTAATACTATTCTTTCTGCGTTTTGTCCATTCGCGCGGCTCGCCTTGGGTATCTTTTTGATTTCCAAACCCAGGGCGCAGGGATAGAACTACACCAAAAGAGTGCTGGTGTTGCGGCCATCAAGACTAGATTGAGGGGGGGAAGGACGCCCCTCGTCAGAGCTCGACAAGGATATCCGTCCTATTTCGCCTTGAGCAAGCGGTGGACAGAGCAGCAAAAGAGTTTTAGGGTGGAAAAAAGTGCGGCGGGAAGGGGGGGGCCCGCAACAAAGCAACGCGGCCGTGGAGTTGAAGTCAGAGCCGTTCGGTAGTTCTGCGTTGGTCGGTGCGAGGCCCATGAACGAGGGAAAACAACACAAAGACCCAGTAAGTTAGCGTTGTCATCGTTCTCTGACGGTCTCGAATGTGGCACCGGCGCAATAAGCGGAGTGGGTCGGTCGGGACCTTCCATGGGAGCATGGCCTTTTGGCCGTCGTGCATGCGCCAGGGGTCCAAATCCAAGCAGTCTCTAAACCCTCCCCCCTCCAGGTTCCTCTTCTTCGTTTTTTTTGAGAACCCAATCACCAAGTTCTGAACGTGCTTGCCCTAGCTCTTTCAGAGTTTGAAACGGTTCAGAGCTCTAGATGAGAAATGTGTGGGAGCAGCAACATACAGTCAGGTACTTTTCCTTTCGCAAGACTTTTAACCTACATCGAGGTAGATTCTTGGTGGCTTGCGGTTAATGTTTGGAGATCCTAGCATCACATCGCAGCCCGCCGCCACGCAGCAGGCAGCGTTTGTGACCATAATGTGACAGGGTGAGATAACCCAGGGCCAGCTTTTCATTTCTCATTTCGAATGCTCGCAAATTTCCCCTCAAAAAATCGATATAGGACGAAGCATACCCTACCTAATGAACGCATTTTCTATTCCCGTGGTGCTAGAGGCCTAGTGCGCAGCCATAGTAGAATATCCTTTGTTTTGAGGCAGATTTTCCGTTGGTGCAGTCCACACATGCTGTTTTCTTTTTCTGGTTGATGAATCCCATCTCCAACTTACTTTAATCTCATTTCCGGACGAATTGACGAGGCGAAACGGATGATTGGGCGCTTGTGTCCTCGAGTTCCCTGCGTTCGTGTCAGCCTGCTGCGTAAATAGATCGTCAACGAGTGGACGGGCGGGGGCCGACAGAGAAGACACAGAGAAGGGTGGGAGAGTTACCGACGGGGTACATGGAATCAGCACCGACCTACCGTAGGTATGGAACCAAGAGTAAGGTAGGTAGAGGTTAGCATGGCGTCTATGTGCGGTAAGGATTAGGGATGGAGTGTAAGGTTTCGTGACCCCATTGTAGTGGCTTGCCTTGTGCGATGAGGCGTCCAAGTGGTTGCTCTTCTTACATCCTGGTTTCCAAAAGAGAAACACCCACAGCGACATGAAAATTCTGTGCGAGGTCAGGTTTCCAAATACACAACCCTGGTCCACTTGAGATGGGCGGGAGATGAACCTTATGCCCGCATTGCATGTTGAATGAGAAGTAAATGACGATCTCGGTTCGATCCGCCTTTCTCTCAAGAATATCCCAGAAGCAGCTCTGCTCATGGGCCTATGAAAACAAATGCGTCAAATGGGAGAATGTGTAAACGTCATAGAAGCGTAGAAAGTTTAATTTCTTTGCCAGTTAATGATATTGTTCAACGAGGTTAAATGATGTGCTGTATCAGCGGATGATGATCCTCTTCGTGCTGAAGCTCTCTTGCAAGGTAGTATTCAACGGCCTGTAACGGGTAAATTGATACATCAATCCTTGCTCCAAACCGTTTGACCGCCTAATTCCCGTATGCAAACCTCTGATTCGGGCTGCACAGATGGAACCTGGTGGTTTGATCAAATAGCAAAGGCTGTAACAATATTGCTTGCATAGTGACGCGGGGGATGCACCGTTTCTAGGAGCTTCTGCAACGACGTCAATTTTTGATGATCACATATACTCTCTTGCTCAGACGAATCAAGTCATCACTGTTGTCCACAGAAGTCATGTCTTTCTCCTTCAAACCAAGCCTGAGTGCAATGGCTTTTTTTGTAGCTATTCCGAAAAGGGGGCGGACGAGTGAATCAACATGATTGTTTACTCAAAATGGCCTCGCATGAGCCCACTGTTTCACGCCTGTTCCTTCATAAATGAGCAGTGCCTTCTCTCATACAAATTGATGCAATTTGCTTGCATGACAAGGCTGAGCTCATTTAGTTCATATTCATGTAAATAATATCAAGAGTCTACCATCGACGCATTTGAGTTCTTTACCATCTTCCCCGTGGTAGATATGGGGAGATTCGAAAATGCAAGCCCTATATCATATCAAAGCATTTGAACACATTACCGAACCTTTGGGCCGATCACCAGCTTAGGTTCCATCGTACCTGATCGACGGTAGCTGAAAGCTAATATTCAATCCATTATTGCAGAAAGCTCCTTTGAACTTACAAGACTTTCCGTCGCCCCCATCCATTAGTGAAGCAATGAAGGTTTGGATCCGGCGGGCCCACCCGTCGCTCATCTTCCATCCAAGGCGAGCAGCTACTCTAAGCTAAGAGACGGCCTGAGAACCATGGAACGATTAGGCTTTTGTTTCTCGCCTCCAATGTACCCACCACCGCCAACCCATTATAATGTTGCTGACCATCTCAGCTAGAAAGGCGGCGACAACGACCAAATTAATCTTCTGCAGCCACCCTTCATTATGTTCAGATTTGTTGCACATCTCATGATCAACAGAAGCATAAATGCGGTGATATGGCATCATGCGCCAGGTACCGCAGTTGTGGGTCAACCTATTATGCCAAGCAAGGAGAACATGTAATTGCATGGCTCGAGCGCTACACCAGCACGAACAAAGATGTCATCTCCGAACATTTTACGTGCAGTCGACCATAGAAAGCAGTTTGATAATTTTTTTTTGTTAGCACAAGAGGGAACGGTACTCAAGGTCACGCAAATCAGCTTTGCATAATGGATGCATCGGGATTTTGTCGTCTCATAAGCAGCCCGACCCAACGACCGCCACCGCTTGTTCATGTGGACAGGATGGCGCAAATGGAATGGCGCCAGTAGACACGAAAGCCAAACATGGTATTAAAAAACGTAAATGTAAAAAGAAGCGGGGTTTCATAGGATCAAATTAATATTGAAGGGTGGACGGTAAACTGTTGTTAGAGCCATAAGTTGATTACAATAATATCGCGACAATATAACAGGGCAGCCCTCGGAAATATACACCGAAAGGCCTTATGAGTGGCTGGAAATTGGCTTGAGCCTACCAAGACGGTATCGCCTACCCGCCCGTCGCCAGTCGACGCGTGGCCCAACACCGTTGCTTGATGTCTTAGAACAATGTCGTCGGGTTGGGTGCCAGGTGCCCAAAATCTCAATTTAAGGCCGGCCAGCTCCCAGCGGAGGGGACAAGCTCAAATTCAGGTCTCCCGAGAGGAGAAGAGAAGAGAGTCGGGCCCAGGAGGGGTTGAATGGCGCGCACTTGGCGTAGTGCTACGAGTAGACGATTAAGCCCAGGCCGTGGTACAACTGCTCGTCATTGGTGCGGAGAAGCGATTGGCGTTGTCGATCATGAGTTTGTCGATACTTTCAGCAACTCAAACACGGAGCATGTGTATCCTTGTAGCCCGAGGCCTTCCTTCAAAATTCGGTCAAAAATGGAAGTTGATGGCATATTGAGCTGTAAGCGGACCGCCATAGCAGGAAATTTGCCCATGGCCGTGGCCATATGCTCAAGCAACGAACTTGGCCTTAAGCAAAAATATGCTTCCTTAGACGCCTATATATTCAGGAAGTGACCTCGTAGAAAAGGTCGCTCACACCTTGCTTCTTGAGTCGCATGTACAAAGCACGGAACAGTATTTGATTTGTAGACGCCAATGAGGTTGTTCGCAGTTTTACCAATGGAG